ACTAGTTATCACTAAAATTCTACCTTTCAATATTCGTAAGTTATTGAGATCCATCGGTCAGAACTCCCGACTTCTTGATTTATAGACAACTAGAAACAATGCTAAACAGTATCCCGAAGAAAAGTTTCTACATCTAATTAAATCTACCAAAATTTCCTAATAAAAGATGCCCCAAAAAATTTCGAACTTCGTCTGCAAAAGCAAGCGAAAAAACCTAGTGCCGCCCTCCAAAATCGTCGACTAAGGCAAGAATGCAGAGATGTAAAAAACCATAAGCTTAAAATACCAAAACCTACAGATGAGTTCAATGCACGCGCTTCAGAAAGTCCAATTCGACCAACAATTCGCAATGTATCGGCATTTGCCATGATTAAATCACAGACTTTTGGTATGCTCTGACCACCTTTCACTCTTTTCAGCCGCAGAACTTCAAGTTTCACGTTATCTGCAAAAAAGATCTAAACTTTCAATAGTCCTGACCAAAGTAACATTCAACCTACCAGCCTGTATCAGCTGATCTAAAAGTGCATTGAAAGTGGTTAGATCGGAATCTTCGATGTTCAATGAGAGTTCTGTGATCGTTCGCATTTTGCCAATGAGGAATTTTAGGAGTTTGATGGCAGCTTTAGGAGTTACTCGAGATCCCTGAAAGAGGAATTCAATTTTAACTTAACCAAAAAGCTCATTTACTTACCTGGATGTAGATCACTGGCTCTGGTACGGGCAGTTTCTCCTTCCTGAGCCCAGTAATTCGAAATTCTATAGGAGAGCGGATGTCAACTTTAATATGTGTATTTTTCGTCAGAGAGCGATCAATTCCATATGCTGCCCATGAGGAAACGGTCTGAAAATGTTCACAAATAACTTTAGAAGAAAAAATGACAAGAAAATATAAAACTCACCCTCAATTCCAGAACCTCTTTGATATTTCCACATGTAGCCACTTTCTCAAAGATCAATGTGAGCACATCATTATTGAGGGTAACATTTGAGCTAGAGCATGAGGGAAGTACGGT